CTCTGTATTATGCAACATAAGCTTGTAAAATACAGAATAAAAATAACTTAAATTTCAAACTGATACATGTAGCAATTTATTTAGTTGAATATTAAAATAGAAATGCATATATATTTCTTTAATTGTTGTTTATAAATTTAAATGGTGCGATATAGGCAAATATTTAGAAACAACTACACTTGGTCACTTAAATGTTTTACATTTGGTCATAAAAAAATCATTAAAAACTTCCTTCACATGAACCTGCGTGATTCGGATGAGCTGAAAACAAACACTGAAATCTCACAGACTGGACGGATTGTCTTCATGCCTGCCAAACACAGCCTGAAACTACTCTGGGCTGAAATCAAGTGCATTCGGGCTGATTGTCAGATTAATGGCGGATCCATTGCTGAAACAACAAGCTAAAAATACCCTGTAGGTAGCTCCTACATAATAATAATAATAATGATTAAAAAAAATCATTTTTCATTATTAAAATGAACTTCATCTTATGGCCCTTCATGTAAACATGTTTTGTTTTTTAAATGCAAGGTAGAATAAATGGACATCATACTTTGAATCATGCAATACCTCTACACTTACACTATTACTTCATTTAAAAAAAACAAACTAAATCATATTTAAAAAAAAAAGTATTAAAAAATGTGGTGATGAATTAATGGAACGTAGTGATTCTTGCATAGATGAGAATAAATAATTATCTTCATTAAAATAAACGGCTCTCAGTGAGCTCCATGAAACTTCACTGAAATGTGAAATGGAAAACGGCAATCCTGAAACAACACAACATTGCTATCTTGTTCATGCATAAACAAATGAATCCTCCTTGTTCCTCTTCTGCAGCCCAGACGATAAAGGAAACAGCAGAACGGCTTCAGAGGAGGTACTTCTGTAAAACAAAAGACACAAACAGAAGACTCAGCTGGAGGTTTTTCAAAACATTTGCTCTGCATTCATAATGCTTTTAAAATGACTGATGGGTGTCTCAGACGTAAGCTGTGACGCAGCTGTAAGGAAGTGTTTTAACACTATTTCTATTTGAAATAGTGTTTTTATTTCTATTTGAATCCTGTGTTGTTACTCAGTAGGAAGGTTGGGGTAAAAACTAGTCTGCAGACTGTAGAGGGCAAAAGGTACGGTGGCCCTGAGAGGCCAAATGGACTGCAACTTAAGAAAACACCAGCAATAAGAAAAACGCTGCAAAAGCACACAAAACACAACGAATGAAAAACGACAACGGAAATAGGAAAAAACCAAAACAGAAATTGGAAAAACAGAAACAGAAATAGGAAAAAACTCATTTCCACAAGCACAAGGGAAGTGTTTCTGGGGAGACAATAACCCGACGGACCAGTTGCAGGAACCCAAAACATGGTAGGCGTGTTTTATCATGATTCATATAATACTGATGACGGATTTTTAGGCCAATAGTTAGGTTAACACACTTACCTCTCATCTTTTCTTTCCTCACAAAACTTCTTTTAAGTGTCTCCCAGCACAGTTCTTAGCATAATTTGGTTCCTGCAACTGGTCCGTCGGGTTATTGTCTCCCCACAAACACTTCCCTTGTGCTTGTGGAAATGAGTTTTTTCCTATTTGTGTTTTGTTTGCTCCTATTTCCGTTGTGTTTTGTGTGCTTTTGCAGTGTTTTTCTTATTGCTGGTGTTTTCTTAAGTTGCAGTCCATTTGGCCTCTCAGGGCCACCGTAAAAAGGAGTACACAGAACAGAACAGAAAAATGCCACAGTGCAAAAAAAGTAAATGTCACACATTCAACATTTATATATGTGAATACTCAATAAAAAAAACAGAAAATACTGTGAAGTATTTGCATTGTGAACCAAAAAAAGAAGAAGAAGAAGAAGAAAGAAAAACATTCCGCATCTTTGTTGCTATGCCAGTCGATCACAGATGACCATTTATCATCAAATCTGCCTCAGAATCACTGATTAATCTTTGAACTTTTGGAGGAAAAAAAAAGGCTGAACCACCACCACTTCCACAGGACCAAGCACTAAACAGCTCAAAACCTGAATAAATTAAATCTGCTTGAAAGCACTGAAACAAAACTGGGCATGCCTACAGTATGACAAGCCAGCTGGTGGTTATGTAACCCTTAACCCTAAATCTGTCTTCACCCAGAAGGAGCTTTTCATTAGGCCTTTGAATGTAGATGGAAAGACCAAAGTTGAGCTTAAAAAAATACTTGTGGATGTGTGGACGGGGGACTTGGTGGCACTTGGATGGTTCAGCTCCCATTGTGCAGCATGACTGGAAATTTTTTATATTACTATACTGTAGCATGTTTAGAAAAGTGATTTACAATAAGAAATAAAAATAAAAGATACAAATTCATGGTACACGCATTTACATTAATTACATAAAATTACAAAAAGCATGATGTCTTTAGCTAAGAGTTAAAGACAGACGTAGGTGACGCATTTGTGAAGTCACTTGGAAGATCATTCCAGCGTCTTGGTGCAAGCAAATTAGCTTTGACTCTGCGATGGTCTGGACTTTAGAGTGATTAGGAAGTAGACCTTAACCCTTAAGCTGAAAAATCTGATGTATGCAATCAGACACATGGAGTGCTACTGTGA